TCACTACCCGACCCTCCTTCTGGTATTTATTTCTGAATTTCAGCTAACATTGCATCAATTTCAGCTAACATTGAATCTATTTCTATTGTTTGAGATGACAAAGAAGCCTGTATTTGAGGTTTTGAACTGTCGCTTGTCTCTAGTTTGGAGTCAAACTCTTTTGATTCTGTATTGCCTATAGCGTAATTATCACCTGCATCAAGATGGTCTGATTCTTGCCTCATTGTGATTCTTGAAAGCAGTTTAAGATGTTGGGGTGTTGGTTTCTTACCACCATGGATTCTGGAAGCGTGTTTACTTCCATAATCACTTAATTTTTTAGGTATAGTTCTATAAGGTTCTTGTTTTAAGAACTCATTAAATAGCCAAGCATTACGTGTTCTATTTCTAGTAAAGACAGGGTCAGATAACTTTTTAACCTTAATTGCATCTTGAATCCAAGTAAGCAATTCCCTTGCGCGTTCTGGGTTCTTCTCTATAGAAAAAAATGGTCGGAGCTCGGAATTCTTTTTCTTTTCTTCTCTACTTTTTAAATAGCCTGTACAGTACCAAGAATAACTTTCTTTATACCATACTGGAGCATTCAAAGGATCTGGTTCATAGTGAATAATTTGAAGAGATCTTACTTCTGCAGGTCTTATACTCAACATCACAATTACATCCGCGAGATTTTCTTTAGATGGAATTTTAGAAACATCCATATTCTGAATCCTTTTAAGCACTCTTGCTGACGAGAAGTATATTAGAATTCTATCCAGATTAGCCATTCGTTTTTTAGTTTGTTTTTTCTGAATTTTATTAGACTCTTGAATAAGTTTTGGATCTTTGGCATAGGTATTAATAATTTCAGGACTTACCCCGCCTTCTGCTAATTTCACATGAAATTGCGACTGGCGTGAACCGAGTTCGACAGTGCGGCCTCTCCAAAGTCCAGTTACATGATAGTTAATGATCCACACCCTACCGGGTACATGATGATAGATAATAAACTTCCTGCTACAGTAGTCACAACAATCATTATCACGATTTAAAATAAGTACGATAAGAACTTCACATATGAAATAAAACAATATACTGTAGAAGGATGTTGATCATCACCATCATGTATCCGACAGAGTGTGGATCATTAACCATCATGTAACCAGACTTTGAAGGGCCACCTTGTCGAACTCGGCGTAAACCACTGGTGACTATTTCATTTTCATAATCATTTTTTGGGCCTAAATCTAAATAATGTGTGAAAATATCCATAGCATCACTGATTTTAGCGCAATATTTTGCCTTTTCCTCTATGGTGAGTTTTTCTTTTCTCTTATCTGGTAAGAGAGCCTTTATCCGCTCTTCACTAAATGAGCGTCTGTTATCAGTACCTCTGGCAAGAGCAACTTTAACATACCTGCGAGCCATCTAATCAGGAAGTAATACATCGAGTTTGGGAGCATATTCATTTAATTGTTCTGGGGTAAAGTTGGCTATCAGATTATGCTTTTCTAGAAACTGCTCTAAGACCAATATAAAGTTATTAACTTTAGGTTTTCAGGTCTTTGGGGAAGCTGTTTTAGTAGCCATGTCAATAGTAAGTGTTATCTAGTTATATTAATCTGGTTATTTTTTAATTCAAAAAAAATAATAATAATTCGCTCTTTACCAAAGCATACCATTTTCTTGGAGTATGCTTTTTTTTTTTTGCTACTCCTCATCAGTATCGAGCCAGGAGGATGTGGTCCCTTTATCTTCAAGATCACAACGGATTATTTCTTCTTCTATCAATCTTTTCCGCACTGACATGTCCATATATTTTTTAGGGTCTTCTTCCCCCTCTTTTGCATAACCACACATCCGAGCGTCAGTTTCCATTCTATCCCGGAATGCAATGAAGTCAAGCCTGTCCTTTTCTGTAATAGTTACAAATATATCAGGATCCTTACCAAGTTCGATTGCCCTTTTTCTGAGGTACTCTTCATGCTAGGCTCTGCTCAAAAGTATGGCAAATGATACTTCATTGATAGGCTTGGAAAAATCAGTTTCTTTAGAAAGCATATCAGACGCTACTCCATTTATAAGCTCAATAGGTTCGGGAAGCTTGCTAGTTTCGAGCTGGTCCTTTTGAGACCACTCAACGATTTTTGGCTCAGGTAGATTAGACGTCTTAGAAGTTTCAGATGTTGAAGCAACTGGTGCTTCAGCTTTTTCTACCACATAGTCGAATAGAGCTTGGGTTAGATTTTTCTGTTTATCTGCTTTCTTATCACTAGGAGAAAGATTCTTTTCTGCCTGAGGTGTGATTATTTTTGGAGAAATAAATTCTGGTACATTGAATATGGGTATGTCTGTTGTCTTATTTTCAGGTAAGTCAGATTGAGGTGTATCAGAAAATTCTTCGATATCATCTAGACCGGATTCACGGAGCTTAGTTATGATTTTGAAGTGATCGAAAATGTATTGCTATTCCCTTTTCTCACCACTTGCCCTCTTGCGTTCAATATTAATCTCTGAGAATTTCTTACCAAGAATGTTGTTAGAAAATAGTTTTTCCCCATTGCCTCTACACCAATCAAAATATTTCTGATATAATATATTGCTACTTAGCTTAGCTACTTTATCTTCAGGCCATGGTGCAATATAATTAATTATGAATCGAATAGGATTAGGTAGTTGGTCTCGCATGGTTTCTATTTTTATTTTGGTTGAAGGAATCTTATATAGCTTCTATCTAGAAAAATTAAGACTAAGCAGATATAACATAAAAGATCCAGGCATATCAGGATGCTCGAGAATCCCTCCTAATTGGTCAAAATATGCAAAATTATTTTTACAAAGGGAGAGACATCTAAACATACAATACGCCCATCTTTCATTTCTACTCGAATTGGGGCATCATGATTACTTAAAATCATAAATCCAGCAAAATGATTACAATCTTGGGATTTAAGGCCTTTGCGCTCAATTGAGACATAGTTTTCTGTAATAAGGGTTTTTAAATGATCATTTGCCTTATGCCATTTACCACTAGCCATTCCTGTTTCGTTCATAATAATAAGTTTCCACACTTGGATGGGGCTATTAAACCGTTCAAGAATCTTCTCTAGATCAAAAGTCGAAAATACAAGGTCTGGCCCGAATAAACTTTTTCGAATAAAATCGGTGATAATATTCTTCCTATATCGTGGTGGGGAGCGTAAAACAAGAATCGTCCCAGGAATTATACTTGGATCTGAACTAGGAATGCAAGCCATTTTAGAACATATTCAGAAAGATTTTTATCTCCATTATATCAGATATTTTCTATATGCCAAACAATAGGTTTTACAAGATCATAATTAATTTGAGATGCCAGTTTGGCCTTGAATCTTAAGAAAAGATTAAAGAATTCAGTTTTTGGTGAATTAACGTTTGGAGAGTATAGGAGAAAATTGACATCATCATAATGTATTACACCACTTATGAGAGTATAATTGATCAAAGATGTTAATTTTATCGTCTCACCCTAGTTCTATTATATTAATTGTAAAATTTGCAATATCTAGTTTAGGCCCCATGTCAAACATAAGTCCACTATTCAGATTCCTATGTTTAAGAATCCATATTTTCGTTTTCTTCTAAACGCAGGCGATCGTTGCTTGAATTGCCTCATAGACAACCATACGAGAGAATTTTTTACCTGAAGTATACATACGCAGTAAGTCACCCCATACAAAGTGATTACTAGGATCTAAAATTCTGGATCGGCTTAGTTTTGCAGGACTTGGAAGCTTTTTTTCTCTATCTAAAGCTGTTTCGCTAATGGTAAGCTTTAACAAAGTGTTTTTTGCGCCAGGCTGTTTTTCTTAGTTTGCACGATAACAAAAAAAGCTATAAAATTTTTTATTTTGTATAATATATGCATTATTACTTGTGTGTTCTCGATCACATAATGGGCAATATGATAGAGAAATGCGTGTTAATAGAAATTTATCAGAGAAATTTTTTGACAGAAATGAGAGATTATAGCCTTCAATATTGGCCTCTTTAAGTAATATCTCTGCCAACTCGAATTCAGCTTCAGTAGTAATATTACTCGTGGTAGAGTATTTTCTTCTGCTTATATTTTCTGAAACATCTAAGAGAGGGCTTTCTATGACTTCTGATTCATCATTTGGCGGGCGAATCATGAAGTCAAAAATCGTTCCATCTTTGGGATAGATAGCTTTTTTTACACGAACATGTTCTTTTGTTTCTTCCTTATACTTGGGTGATCCAAGCATCCGCAAAGAGAAAGACCTTTTATTTGCAATGTTATCAATAATATTTTTCTCCTGTAATCCTACCTGGAGTTTTTTGCAAACAAGTTCAGTGAATACTGCGACCTGAGCAATGTTCTTAAGCCTCATACCAGTAGTAGAGATGTAAAGAAATATTTTTTTTGCATTACTACTAGTAGCAACAGTTATACTTTTTTTATTCCACTCTGAATGTATTTCCAGACAAACATCTCTAAAGACTATTTGAATAGCTTTACAGGTTTTTTTATGTGAAACTTTAGGAGTAATAGCATTTAGTATTTCTATTGGCAAATCAAAATCTATAATAGGATGAAGTGGCTCATCGCTACCAATAAATTCGTATAATGAATGGCCTTCACGGTCTGAGAGTATAGCTTCGATACCATCCTCATTGTCTGTACCTAGAAAATTCCTTGGTCTAATACTATCATCACGAATTTTATATAAGTATGCACCTATATCAGAAGCTCTTAACCCACAATAGTATGAGGCTGGACCATCCAAATTCTCTGAAAGCTCAGATTGGGTCATGGTAGTATCGAACATTTTTTTAAAGAAATATTAAATCTGTATAGAAAAAGTTTAAAATAAAAATTAATTCTCACTAAAAGGTAACCAACATCAATTTATAGCATAAAAAGAAACCATCTTAAAAGATAGCATTTTATCATTGTGAATACATTCTTAGAAGCAGAGAAGTCTGTAGGCGGGGTAGTTATAGGTCTGAAGGATGTGGTTATCACTGGAAATCCCCCAATATATACCATGTAAAGAGTGTGGTGAAATTACATCCTCTGCATATAGTATGTGCAAAAAACATATAGGGAAGTATCGAAATATGGAATACTATTATTGGCAAAAGCTTGCAAAAATTCAGAATAAATTCCACCAGCAAATCATCCCAGAAAACCCATCCTAGTTTGCTGAAATGAGCTGGGATGGAAATCTAGACAGAAAAATATAGCTAAATGGTGATATTAAGCTGAATTAAAGGGAATTTGAATAGCCGTTCCAGTTGTCCCAGTTGTCCAAGTAAAATGCGAGATTCTTTATTATTATTATTTTTTCTTTTTTTCCTATAAGCATACTAACATAGTAGTATATACTATAAACATATAGCATAGGATGAATTACGAGTTTTTTTTTAGAATTCTTATTTTTATT